TGTTATTTGAGATCTCTTAGGAAGTGGAGCACAATTCAGGGTTTCTCTATGTCGCCTCATCTCCAGACAGCTGGAAGAGATGGGAGACACCCAGGCACCCCGGACCAAGTCCTGCTGGCCCAGAACGCAGCCCTCAACAAGGGCTTCCTCTACAGAAATCAAATGCCAGGTAAAATCAGGTTTTGAATGGTAAAAGAAAATAGAAATAAATTATGAAAGAGATAAAGAAATTATGAAAGAGATATTATTCAAGAGACAGAAGAGAAAAATAAGGGTATGAGTCAGTAAGGTGTGAAAGTAAATGTTACCACACTCCCCACACACACCCCCCCACACACACACATACATACATACACACACACACATTCTGTACACAAAAGAATAAGGTTACATATGCCTTAATTTTCACTTTTCAAACCTGTAGGATGATGTGACAGATTCCAGTCTCATATTATTCCTCACATTTTTCAGGACTATCAAAATCACACCTGGAATGACAGGATCTGTAAAGTCACCTGTGTGAAGACAGCTGCGTTCAAACTCCGCACTGAATGCGATAGCTCCTAAAAATATGCAGGCTGCTGTGAGGTTTCAGGGAAAAAAGTAGGTTACACTTTTCCCCATAAAGGCCTGGGTGACTCAGAGTTTAATGATAGGATACATACGCTTTCACCCCTAGGTCACTGATTCTAGGGTGATTAGAGCAGACAGTCATTTCAGGGCACTGCCGTGGAGCAGCTGCTTTGTTCACAGTCTGTAGGAGAACTGTGCTGCATGTTTCTATTAATACTCACTTGACAGGTGTATACATTCCAACTCTTGCATCTGCCAATCGCGACCACTTTGAAGCCGAGTGATGAAAGCCACAACAGCTGTTACCTTTAGAAAGCTCTTAGCATGCCCAATTCTCTCCTGTCTTTATCTAAAGCACTAAATATTAATACTCCATATCATGACAGACTGTATGGGCTAAAACCAAAACCATGAAAGAAAGATATTTGTGGAGGACTTCTGAAATGAGCACAACATCCTTCTATGAAACAAAGAAGACCACAACCTTCCCTCCTAGGAAAGTGTGGGAAAGGCCAAGCCGGCTGAGAAGGTCAACATGTTTAATGGCTTAGTGACTTGTAGGAGACTCTGTGCTTTAAACAAGGTCATACGCGCATACCTAGGTCACTGGGAAACGCACTTCTAAATTTTTTGTCCAAAGATTTACGTACCCAGGCAATATAAACCCGTAACCCCCACTGTCTCTTCCATGTTGCTCTAGGGCAGCGGTTCTCAACCTTCCTAATGCCACGACGCCTTAATACAGTTCCTCATGTTGTGGTGACCCCCAACCATAAAATTATTTTCGTTGCTACTCTATAACTGTAATTTTGCTACTGTTATGAATCATAATGTAAATATCTTTTTGTTTTCCGATGATCTTAGGTGACCCCTGTGAAAGGGTCATTCGACCCCCAAAGGGGCTGCGACCCACAGGTTGAGAACCGCTGCTCTAGGGCCTCTAAGACAATGCTTATGTAGTGCCAGAGATGGTAATTTATCAGTTCACCCAGTCACCATGACGACTAGTAACTGGATGGCACCTACTGCACTGTAAAGTCATTCCACTAAGAAGGGTTCCCCACAGGCCCCGTCACAGCAATAACTGGAAAAAAATTGTGTTTTGAAAAATTAAGCTATTATTTTTTAAACAACAGTATGGAGAGATTTAAGTCACCGCCTAATCTGCTATGTCTGTACTGAAATAATGACGATGCCTACCTATCAACCTTTACCACATGGTCAGTCCATGGCACTAATGGAAATAAGACTTATAATCTAAAAATCCATGTTCCTACTTTCCACATCCATATTCATACCTTCTTTCAAAGAACTCAGCATCTCCTTATAGGAGGGAGTTAACTTAACCAGGCAATAGTCCAACTCACATTGAGCACGGATTTTTAATCTTTGTATAAAATGTTTACTAGGGACTCTGCTTTCTTTTCTTAAGTGATGTTAAATAATGCACTATGGCACCGACTCAAAATATGGTGAAAATAGTCACTAATAACTTTTTGTTTCAAATATATCATTTTCTTTTCAAAGGTCTTAAGAGTCCTGCAAGTTGAGACTCGAGAGAATTGCTTCTGTCAAACCCAAGAAACTTATAAAATGAGAAAGAAAGCACTCACTAGGCCTTTTTGATCTGGTTCGGTCAGTCAACAAAACAACCCTGTGGTTTGACTTTGTTTTGCTTCAGAACTGGTGTGTCATTACAAATCACAGTCTGCAACTCCATTTCATTGATGAGGACATTAAGGCACAGAGAGGCTCAGTGACACGGAAACACAAACCCTTTGAGCAGAAGGGACCTTAGCATTAACACAGATCAGAAATATTACAACCACAAGTCCCTATTTTTATCCAATTGAAAGAATGCCGTTTTTGTATAAGTTAAAAGTTCATCTAAAAACTCCTCACTTCTAAGTTTAATAACAAACTTAGCAAAGCTGGTAGTTTTGTCTGCTTTCAGTCTTTGTCTTGTATCTTAACCATCAAGAAACTCAGAGTAGAACCTAGCACCCAAGCAGAACACCACTTCACAGCTGTGGTGCCTGGGGGGTGACCTCATCCTTTCTTTGTCACTCAGCCCTTCATACATTCAATAAGTATTAGTTGAATGTCTGTTATATGTCAGACATTCTAGATTCTAAAGATACAGTAGTGAACAAATCATGTGAAAACTCCTGTCTTCGTGAAAATTAATTACTGAAGAATAAGATAGAGTATGATGATGCTGTGGAGAGAAAAAAAGGAGGAAAGGAGACTGGGCATGTGGGGTGAGGCTCAACGTTGAAACAAGTGGTTAGTGAAGGCCATAAGGGTGATATGTGTATAGAGACCTGGAAGGGAGGAGGAGGAGACGGAAGCAAGCAAAGGGAATGGCATCAGGGCTGTTCCAGGCACGAGGAACAAGGGCAAGCCCCCTGAGGTGGAAGCATGCTTGGCCTGCATGACTCACCTTTTTGTTGTTGTTTGTTACTCTGAATAAAGTATATTTTTCGTTATTGAAAGTTCTCTCAAATACTTTGGAAGGAGAATCAGGAACATACATACAATCATGAACACTGAAAACAACCTTTAGACACTATGTAGCTTCAGAGGACCAGTGGTTGTGTATTGCAGAGACAATTCACTCACCTTGCCACCCTCCCACTCCCCGTTTCTTCTCTTCTCCACTACAGATCAAAAACACTGACTTCCTCAAAGTGACTTACAGAAGTAAAATAATAATAATAATAATAATAATAATAATAATAATAATAATAATAAATATGCATCTGCTTTGGGGAAAGGGCCTACCTTACAGAAATCAAACTGCAATGCAGAGTACAGGATCCCACAATGCCTATCTCCCTTGAACTTGTAAACCCACAGTATTTGTAACCAGCATTTAACTCAGTGCTACCTGGTAATGTTACTATTTATATTTCATTGTATGCTACTTTGTATTGTTGTGTACACATCTGCACTCACAGTGACTTCCTTGGAGCAGGGCCCATATCTTAAGAATGTTGAATCCCACCACAGGACTTTACACTTGGGGCATCAATATCTGTTTGATGGTGATGTCATAGAAACTACCACAATGAGCAGCAGCCATTCCTCCTGTTTTAAGTGTCTGTTTGTGGATAAAGCATGAAAGAAACATAGTTTCTTATAGACATTTGGATAATCTCAACTATCTTGGTCAAGATACATTTTGTGTAACATTCCATCCTGTCTAAATTTCCTTTTGCACTTTCAATTGAGCACAGTACACACTTTCGGTCTAGACAAGCATGGATTAACCACAAAACACAAAGGAGCCTCACTGTGTGGAATCCTGTTCAGGCCACTTCAGCCAATGTTATTAAACACTATTACAGGAAAGGGATTCAACATGAAACTACCAGATACTGGGAGTATAAGACATTGCCATATATTCTAGCAAGACAGACACAATAAAGAGCAACTTCAGAGCTTCTAAAACAGGCAGAAGTCTTTTGAAAGTATAAGCAGCGGCCTGGGGAGTGAGTTAAGGCTTCACAGAAAAGTTGGCACTTGAACAGCCAGAGTTTTGAAAAATAAAAAGGACTAGGACAATCAGACATGGGATCAACGGGCATTCCGGATTGTGCAAAACACAGGCAGAACCATAACAGATTGAAAACTGCTGGAAGAACACTTTCACAGCATCAGTGAAGGAAAGCTGCTGGTCTGTTGTACTCAAGCTTTCCAAGAAAAACAACAACAACAACAAAAAACAACAAAAAACACACAAGCCTTTAAATAAGGAGCTGAGAAGAAAGTTTCACCAGTGCTTGTTTTGTTAAACCTCTGAGCTCTGCTTTGCTCCCTCTTAAAGAAATAAAGTACTGTGCTGGCATAAAACTTCAGCGAGGAAAAGTACTTCAACTTTACTGTGGAAAAAGAAAAAACTGAAAAGTGGGCAAGGGCCAAGGAATAAATAAATTACATTCTTCTGGAATATATCCATGGAGCAAAATTTAAAAATCAGGTATCATGGACTGGAAATAATTCCAATCTTTCTCATTACCAACTCAATACATATTATTTTATGCCCAGTATTTGTTAATTTCTGGGATACCAGGTCTATGAGGCACTCTCACTGCCCTCCTGTTTGAGCAAGCTCTTGTTTTCCATCTAGTAAAAGAAATAAGCAGAGGGTAATTCACTGTACCCTGTTTCTTCTGCGGTTGCCAACCAAAACCTGAAGCTCAGAGCAATGTTAAAATTTCAGTCAAGTTAACCGGTGAGGACAAAACACACTTAAATAATGACATGAGGACAACAACTGAGATGTGAGAAACTGATACAGGTCCTCGGGTAAGGGTGCCTCAGCACCTCTTCCTGTGAGCAGGGAGCTGGCGAGCTGGACTTCCTGGCCAGTGATTTGGAATGCTGAGTGGGGCACAGAGGAGGGGACAGAGGGGTGAAGTTACCTGGGAACTCAGGTAGACTTTGAGGCACTCCTCGCACACGGCCTTCTTGCAGCAGGGCAAGGGCTTGATGGGCTTGTCTTCCAGGCACACCCGGCACATCAGCACCATGAGGGGCGCATAGGGATCCCCTACCCCACCCAGGCCAGAGTAGGGTGGAGCTCCCAAAAGGCCGGGCACGGAGAACGGCTCGGGCGCCAGGTAGAACTCCAGCTCAATGCTGCCGCCATCGGGAGACAGGGGGTCCGTTGGGAGGGGCAGCCGGGGACTGGGAGGGTCCGTCACCGGCGGAGCCCGAGGTGGCGACGCGGGCGGCGAGCAGTGCTCGGCAGCGGGCTCCGGGGGCAGGTCGTTCTCCACGCAGTACACGGAGCAGAAGACTTGTCTTTTGGCGGGGGCCGGGCGCCGCTGACCCAGCACGTCTAAGACCAGCGCGTCCCGGGTCCCGACGCGGGTCCTGGGCTGTGGCTCCTCTCCAGGGGGCGCCTCCTGCTGCTCACCCCCTCCCTCGTTTCGGTCCCCAGCTTTCTCCTCCTCCTCTTCTAGCTGCTGCTGCAAAGTCTGGGGGTTGAGGGGTCCGGTGAGTGCCAGTCCCGCGGGCTGCCCGGCTGCTTCGCTCTTCGTCCAGCCCGGGGCTGCCCGGCTCCTCGCGGGCTCTCGGGCGCCCGGGTCCGCGCAGCCCGAGTCGCTTCCGCAGCCACTGGCGCTCGGCTCCGCGGAGGCGGCGCGCGGCCCGGGCGCCCCGGCGCTGTCACCCCGCGGCCTCGGGGGCTCGGGGTGGCCTGGGGCGCCTCCAGCGGGGTCTCCCGCCTCCTGGGGCCTGCCGCCGCTCACCGTGCTCTGCTCCTCGCCCATCGCCGCCCGCGGCCCGCGCCGCCGCTGCCCATCCAGCCGCCGGGACCCCCACCCGGCGCCGGCGGGCAGCGGGGGCAGCGGCTCGGCTCGACTCGCGGCTCCGCTTCTGCTTCCGGGTCCCTCCTCCGGGGCTGGGACGCCCCGAGCTCCCTCCGGGGAGCCCGTGCTCCCGGGCCGCGGCGCGCGGGGAGCCGGGCCCGGCCCGCTGCTCCTCCTCCTCCTCCTCGTCCTCCGGCGGGGCCGGGCACCGCCTCTGGGGAGCCAAGGGCCGCTCGCTCCGGGCGCGAGTGCGCCCGCCCCACATGCAGATCGGGGCGGCGCCGGAGCCCCCACGAGCCCCGGGAGGGGCAGAGGGGTCCAGAGGGAGGCGGCCGTCAGTCCCGCGCCATCGCCGGTCCCCGCCGCGGGCCGCGCGGGACGGGCCGCCGGAGGGCGGTGGTCCGAGGGGGTCGAGGGGCCTGTGGCGCCGCCGCGGCGTGCGCCGGGAGGTGCAGCCGGAGCGCGAGCGAGCCGCCGGGGCCCCTGGGGCAGAGGCTGGAGCTGGCGACCTCCCTCGGCTCCTGCTTCACCTAGCGCCGTCCTCGCTGCCCCTCACCCCACCCCTTTGGCGCACACCTCCCCACACGTAAACACGCGCGCAGGCACCCGCGCGCTCAGTCACACGCACACCCCGAGTGGGTGTGATCTAAGAGTCGTGATGCGCTCTCGCGCCCGGAGTTCACACTCGGTCCCAACAAAACCCTTCCGAGCAGGCGGGCGGTCCTTCGGGCTACGCGCTAAGCAGAACTTCCTACAAAAGAGCTGGAGCCAGAAAACACTGGCCGTTGAGGATTTGGTTGCTCTTGGTTCTCATGGGCCCATCCCATTTTAAGACCTTCAAAGAGAGAGTTCAGAGAAATCACGCTAGGAATTCTTAGCTCAGGATGCACGCGGTATACACAACTGTTTTCTGCTAATGGGGTAAGAAGGGTCTTTGAAACCCACAAATAGGGCAAAAATTGCTTTTAACCTACTCCTCCAACTGGAGTCCTTATAAGAGAAGATAACTAAGATTACTCCCCCCCTCCTCTTCAATGTTTTTTTAAGAACTATTTTTAACCCATTAAATATTTCAAGTTGCATAGCACAATGTAGCAAGATGGCCTGGCCTAATTAATAAACTGGATCACTGGTGGGAAACATGAGGCGTTTTATTAGCATAACCATGTTTATCCCCCAAACTGTTTCCAAGACAACAATTATATTTGAGCCAGAACTTAATCATGTGTTGATCTATCTTTATTTTACAGGAAGTATTAGTCACCCAGACTGGTGTGATTTAGTTCCCTAAAGCCAATGAAAACATTTTTGGGAAGCCAACCCTTGCTTTTTTTCATCTTGTGAGAGAATTCAATTTACACATTTATGTCATAGGAAGGAGCTGTGAAGTGTGTACAATCTATCTTATCTTGAAGCTGTTGCTGGGTTGTTCTAAAATATTTTCCAAATCAGATACAAATGCTATGCAATACCGAGAAAGCAGTGTGACACCAAAGAAAGTTTCTGTCACGTGTGTCTAACAGTTGTACCCCAAAGGGATAAATCCAACCTATCAGCCTAAATGCCACCTCACTTATCAGTCTGACCCAAGAATGAAGGATTCTGTTTTGGCAGATTAAGTGCTATTGAGGGATTTTTTTTTTTTAATCTTAGATAATTGATTTCCAGTTAACTGTTCTTTTCTCCAAATAATCCCTTTAGTGTTTATTGTCTTAAAGTCGGGGACAAGAAGTCCACATGTAGGTGCCTTTTGTGTATACTAACTGTGATATAAAAATAACCTGTGCTTTCCAGGTGACAACAGGCTGAGAATCAGACTAGAATAACAATACACTGTCTGTAGCAATCAAACCCCTCAAGGTCCTCCCATAGTTTTGGAACTCCTTCCTCCACACACGTTTGTCATACGTCTTCCAAGAATTTGTTCTTGCAATACCCACCATTTTGTTCCTTATCACTCAAGTTTCAGTTTACTGGCAGTGGCTTTCCTTGACATTGAGCTAACTAGAAGTCACTGCTGGGATTCCTGAAGGCAGCCCACAGCTCTCAGACCTACTTACTGACATGTCTTCCTCCCTACAGGATTCGGTTAGCCTTTGTGACAATAGAACCATGGCATGCCGTATCTCCACGCTCCAGACAGACCCAGACTTGCCTGAATCATGGGCCCAGCATCGCCTGGTGTTCCATCTAGGATCCAGGAGACACCAGCAGTTTGGAAATGAGTTGAAATGCAAAATTAAAAATGCCGGTTCTACCATAAATTTCCCCTGAAAAGAAATTAATGAAACGTCTATAATGATTGTGTGGATAGGATTCACTTTTTAAAAAGAATTGTTTGAAAATATAGTTACCATAGCATAAATTTCACTTATCTATCACAAGCTTAATATTCTTGAAACTCATACCATCTGCTCCCCACCAGGCTGTACACAGTTGTTAGTACAACATAAGCACTGACTGCCACTACCAGTTTCAACTCTCAGTATTTCTTAATAAGCTGTGTACCTGCCCTAAACTCAAGACTTCAATATCAGGAGACAATGTCAAGTTTGAAAGTTGACATAGGCATCTGCTTTTGGTCATTATAGAACGTTATTTTTTTCTTTTATCACTTTTCTTATCCTGGCCGTTATTCATGACTTGTTTTGGCTCCCTTGAAAATTTTTATTCAGGCATTCTTTAGAAAATTAAAGAGCCTAGATTTATTAACTTATTAGAAAAATATTGTATCAGAAAAACTGTGAATCATTTACATTTTACAAATTAAAGGTAAACAAAAATTCTTTTTTAACTGTTGTGGAGAAGAAATACATAGCATGTAAAAATGCCATGAAATAATTATACAACAAATACTTTACTTGTTTTCTTACTAGTCCTTCAACTATCAAAACAGGTAAAAAGAAATATAAATCATTTTTTAAAAATTATTTCCTGAAGAGGGATGAACAGGGTAGAATGGTTTTCTAGGTCTTCTAAAAGACACAGTGGAATGTTGGCCCCCTTTCCTATTTTCTCCCCTCTTTACCCATAAAGGAAGAGAGCATGGGATTATTAGAGGGAAGGGGCATCAAATAGAAAAGAGAACACAATTATTTCACTTTCTTTTTCCACCTAAATTTCCTAAGGAAAATCCAACTAGCAGATTTTTCTGAGATAGTGTTAAAAATAAAACAAAACAATGTATTCTTTCAAATTATGAAATGAAAGCCCCAAAGCTTGGAAAACAGAGAAAACCAAGAATAAGAAGTAGTAGCAGGAGGAGGGTAAAAAGGAAGAGAAGAAGAGAAGAAAGAAGGAAGAAAGGAAGGCAGGAATCCAGGGAAGGAAGGAAGAACTCTAATTTACCCACTACTTGAAATCACCACGGAAATTACTTTAACATGTTGGTATATTTCATTCTCGTGTTTGCATCTGTGTGTATTAAAATATATTAAATTATTTATGCTTCTTTTGGCCATTTTTTCACTTGGTAATGTATCCTGAACATTTTTTACACTGTTAAAACATCTGTGCATCATCACGTTTTGTGACTATGAAGAATTTTACTATATAGATTTATTTACTATATAGTCATGATTTATTTAACCAATTGCATGTTATTAAAAAATTAGATAATTTATGGTTTTAAGAAAATACATACCACTTAATATATGTTAATATGTACTATTTGTGTACATTCCTAATATACCACAGCATAAAGTCCTAAAAGGTAAATTGCTGCAGAAAAAGGTAGATGTGCTGCTGAGGCTTTGAACACACATTATCACGGAAACTTAGCATCGATTTTTAATCCCATCAATAGTGAGGGTATGAGAGAGACTATTTCCCTAATCAATCTAAGGAGATGTTCGAAAATGAAAAATTCTGTAAATAGCATCTCACTTTTTAATTAATGTGCACTTTTTTTTAAGTAAAAAGGGAAAAATCAAATATTGACTGTTGATGACCCTTTGGATATTTACAATTTAGCGCTCTATGTTATGGCTCTCTATTCCTGAGGTTATGGTTCTGACAGCTCCCCTTCCTGATCTTTTTTTTAATTTCCTTTTTATCTTTTTTAGTGACAATCGTGCTCTAAAAATGTTCAGAACTAAACTCAGTCATAGTTATTACTTCTATATCTGTGCTGCCTTTCCCTCATTTCCAAAATACAAGTGCATTTATTTCAGTCCAGACTCATTCCCAAATGAATACTGTGCCAAGGAAATCCCATCTCTCAACTCATACTGTGAAAGCTCTTTGCATGAAGGCAAGGAGAGTTTCACTAATGGTGCAAAATCAACCCTCACTAACCTGAGAGAACCAGTTCCCTCTTCACTGAATGCGTCACCAAGAGCTTGCAGTTTAAAGGCAGCTCAAAGTTTCCACTACGGTGGTTTTTGTTTACCAGAAAGATGTCAGCCCTGGCTCGTCATCTAGAAATCCCCAGTCTTCTCTTCCCAAGACACATAGTCACATGAACAGAGAGGCAGCTCTCTCTCTTCCTCAACTTCCCTATTTGAAAGGGGTGTCAAGTCATAGTCTCCTCCACACAGGCTTTATTTACAGCAAGAGTCAGAAAAATTTACAGCCTGACTCCTCCCTGGCCCTGAGCCTGGAATGTTGGTTGGGTGAGCTAGAGCAAGATAAATCTCTTCTTGTACAACCCCCAGTACCATCGGAGCTGGGCAAGTCACAGTGAAGAAAATCGTTTTGTCCAAACAAAAGTTTAATCAAGCATCAGAGTAACAGAGCCGAAGATGCACTTGTACAAAACAGCACTTTTAGTTCTGAAAAGAGTTGAGGTTTTTCTTAGAAAAAGGACAAGTAAACCTCTTCCAAATTAGGGAATAAGTAAAAGGTAATTTAGATGAGATTTATTTAACACAATAGAGAAGTGCTTACAAAATTATGTTAAGTGAAAAGAGTAAGGAAAATGTAATGTATAGCATGAGAACAACTGTGGAGAGTATATTTGATAAAATAAGGGCAGAGGTAATAGGGGTTATTACAGAAGGGCGACGTGGTTATAATTTTCTTCTCTACTTTCTAAAATTTCTAAAACACTCTAT